TTTTTTCCATGCGGGCCGTTACTGGGCTCATATGTTGGCGGGCTGACCCGAACCATCCGGATTGACACCTCTAATAAATTGTGACCTAAATATAATTATTGTTCAATTAATGTGATGTTTGTGACCGTAAATAAGTATTGTGATTTATAAATTTTGTGACATGTGACCGATAAATAAATTGTGAGTTTTAATTTTTTAAGTTGTGAGCGATAGACAAATTATGACCTATGAAGCAATCGTCGGAATGATCGCCGGAAAAGAGTGGTGATCGGAAAGGTCGTCGGAATAATCACCGGAGCTGTAGGGGTGGTGGTGGTGGAGGTGGAGGTGAGTTAATTGTAATATATTAGAATTAAATATTAATAATAAATTGATTTAATAATTATTATTTCATAAATAAAAAATTAAAGAAACCTGATTTTTGAAATTTGAAATTTGTTTATATATTTTTGAAATGGGTGAAAGTAAATATCCGATTTATGTATTGTTCCCTATCTAATTTTCAGTAAAAATAGTCGGCTAAATTATAATTTTTTCGATAAACAATAAATATTTATTAAAAATATTATCTTTACTTTTCTTACATGAAAATCTGAAAATGGCATCATTCAAGAAAATGTAAAAAGTCAAAGTTTAGTTGACCAGTTGTACTAGCCCAACATTGGCTCAAACTCGACTATGAACTGGCGCAGTTTCTTTTAGTTTCCAAACAAAATCTAAAGAACTCTCAAATAGTACAATACAATACAACAACTGACAAAATATAAAAAAGAAATCTCAAAACGGCAAAACCTTAAAACCCTTCTCTCCTCTGATCCTTTTTCTCTTTCTTACTAATCTTTCAATCGCCATAGCCATGGAGGAGAGACAAACCCTCACAGTTCGAATCACAAACATCCCACAAACCGCCATAGCCAAAGAACTCTTCACCTTCCTCGAATCCACATTGGGAAAAGGCACGATCTTTGCCTGTGAAATCTTCACGGAGTACAATAACTGGAAGTCCAGAGGCCATGGCAGGGTCCAGTTCGACACCCAAGAAGCCAAGAATAATGCCTTATCACTCTCTCAACAAAGGAAGCTCTTTTTTAGAGGGGCCCACCTCGTGCTTTCTCTGTCTTTTGATGACGTCATCAGCAGGCCATTGGATCCTAGAAATAGGGTTGAAGATGGTAATGGAGTGACCCTTTTTGCTGGGGTGATGATCAGAGGGGACTGTTTGGGGATTTTGGAGTTTTGGGATTGTGTGAAATTGTGGGTTGTGCCTGAGAGGAAGAGGCTTGAGCTGTTTTTGAGTCATAAAGAGGAGTGCTATAAATTGGAGGTGCAGTTTGGGGATGTTTTGGAAACTTGTGGGTGCTGTTTGGATGGGAACAAACAGAAAGTTGATGCCATTCTTTTGAAGGTATGATTTCCGCTTTTCTTGTTAGATTTCAGAAATAAACGGTGAAAGGGATTTGTATAGTTGACCTCCTTTTTTTAGTTTTTTTTTTGTTCTTTTCTTTCTGAGACGGAGGTTTAATTTGTTTCAATGTTTTTGTTTGTGTTAGATATCAGAAAGTCTTATGGTTGCTGTTTCTATTTTGATTCATTCTTTTGAAGGCGTGCTTCTCTTTTCGTGTTCGATGTATATTCATGTTTGATGTCATTCTTTGATTGTCTTTTCATGTTAGATACTAGAATGGAACAGAATGGTGAAGAAGGTTTTATGTAGTCGATCCCAAATTTCTTGTGAATGAGGCTTAGTTTGTTTTTGTTGAGTTAGATATCAGAAAGTCTTGTGATTGTTAATTGTTTCCATTTTGATGCCTTTTCTCATTTGATGCCATTATTTTGAAACTACGATTTTCACTTTTCTTGTTAAATATCTGAATGGAAAGATAAAAGACAAATTTATGTAGCTGTCCTCAAATTTGAGGAGAATGAAGCTTAGTTTGTTTTTGTTGTGTTAGATATCAGAAAGTCATGTGATCGTTATATGTTTCTGTTTTGATGACTTTCTCGTTCGATGATTTTAATGTCAACTTGTTTGTCGAATTTTTTCGATCTCTTGTAGTGTAGAATTTGGTTGGTTTGTGTTGCTGCATACACTGTTAAGGTATCAGTTCTCACCAAGCCTAGCAGAAATAGCATCAAAAGTTTTCATACAATGTTAGAAAGAAAAAACTTGGCCAAAATGATATTGGCTCAAGTCCTATTTCTGCAGAAACCTTCATTGAATGAATTTGAAGGGCAAAATGTGCAACTGTTCTTCTAAATGCATGCCGTAATAAAGAATTTTCGTGAGCTGGGCGGACCATTTCTCCCTTGTCTTATTTTGCATTCATCCCTGTTTATATTCATACTGAATTTGCGGAAAAAAAGGAAGTTATAGAAAGTTATTAACATGGTTCGATTTCTATTTATTGGTGCTTAGCTTCTTCTTTTTCTTAAACTGACCTATGTTTCCTTTTAGTCTTGATTGAAATGTTGTCATTTAGTTCCTTGGTTGTTGAGAAAAAAACCATAGAACTCAACTCCTGCTGCCTTGTCTTACTGTCGAGTTCACTTAATTTTCAGCTCAAATATGCGCCTAAAGTTTACAAGAAGGTTTCTGGACCAGATGTTGCTTCAAAATTCCGTACCGACAGATATCATATCTGCAAGGAAGACTTTGACTTTCTCTGGGTTCGAACAACTGATTTTTCCAGTATGAAGTCAATTGGATACTTGTCATCGCTTTGTTGGAAAATCGAACAAGGATCATCGAATGTAGATATATATAACAGTTTGCCATATTATAAGAAAGATGTGATGGAACTATCTCTGATAGAAGGCAAAAAGTTCCATTCGGCTTCTAATTTGGTTCCACTCGTGATAAATCACTCGGATTTCAAATTAGGATATGAGGTTCTTTTCCAGCTTAACTCACTTGTACATACTCATAAGATGAGCCTTGCTGCAGTTAACACTGATCTGTATCAGGTCCTCAGCGGAATAGATATCGACACTGCAGTGTTAGTTCTTCAGAAAATGCACAAGTTGGAGTCGACTTGTTTTGAGCCGGTTTCATTTATCAAATCCCATTTGCATGTAGTCAATAAGGATGTCAAGAATCTTGCTTCAGCAGCTTATAACAGATTAATAAATCAGAATGTGATGACTTGTCATAGAGTCCTTGTAACTCCATCAAAGATCTACTGCTCAGGTCCTGAACTTGAAACGTCCAACTACATCGTGAAGAACTTTGCTTCATATGCCTCGGACTTTGTGAGGGTCACTTTTGTCGATGAAGATTGGGGTCGGATCTCTGTCGGCGCTCTTTCTACAAGCATTAATCGAGGCATTTTTGCAAGGCCTCATAGGACGGACATATACGATAGGATTTTATCTGTCCTCCGAGATGGGATTGTTATTGGAGATAAAAGGTTTGAATTTCTGGCATTTTCTGCTAGTCAGCTGCGTTCAAATTCGGTTTGGATGTTTGCTTCAAATGAACATGTGAAAGCACAGGATATCAGAGAGTGGATGGGTTGCTTTAGCAAGATTCGTAGTGTATCGAAATGTGCAGCAAGAATGGGTCAGTTGTTCAGTTCCTCTATGCAAACTATAAAAGTCCAGCCTCAAAATGTCAAGGTTATTCCCGACATTGAAGTGATTTCGGATGGTGTGGGATATTGCTTTTCCGATGGGATTGGAAAGATCTCCTTTGCTTTTGCCAGGGAAGTTTCACGGAAGTTGGGTTTGAGTCATATTCCTTCAGCATTTCAAATACGTTATGGTGGCTATAAAGGGGTAATAGTTGTTGATCGCCATTCATACGATAAGTTGGCACTACGCAGTAGCATGCTTAAATTTGAATCTAAGAACTGGATGCTCAACGTCACTAAATGGAGCGAGTCTATGCCTTGCTACTTGAACAGGGAGATTATTATTCTGTTATCGACCTTGGGGATACAGGATGACATATTTTTGGCATTGCTTGAAGAACAACTTCAACTTCTGCGCCAAATGCTGACAAATAGAGAGGCGGCACTGAAGGTTTTGGAGAGCATGGGTGGAATCGACGGAAAGGGTGTTTTAGCAAGGATGTTGCGTCAAGGTTATGAACCAAACAGGGAGCCTTATCTCGTGACCATGCTTCAGTCACTTTACGAAAACCAGCTTTCTGATCTAAGAAGTAGGTCTCGTATTTTTGTCCCAAAGGGTCGAGTATTAGTAGGATGCCTGGACGAAACGGGAATTTTGGAGTACGGCGAGGTTTACGTACGAATAACCATGAATAAGTCAGAGCTACATAGTGGTGAACAGACCTTCTTTCATAAGGTCGATGATACTACATCCATACTTAAAGGCAAGGTGGTGGTTACAAAAAATCCCTGTCTCCATCCAGGCGATGTCAGAGTACTTGAAGCTGTCTATGACGAGAAATTAGACGGGATGGGACTCGTGGATTGCCTTGTTTTCCCACAGAAAGGAGAAAGGTGCATTCTTCATATCCCACTTATTTATGGGGTTTATTTATTTTTTCCTGAAAATCAATCACAGCATTATTTTGACTGTTCCAATTTAAAATGGAATTGTTATATTGCAGGCCTCATCCGAACGAATGCTCTGGTGGTGATCTTGATGGTGATCAATATTTCATAAGCTGGGATGAAAATCTCATCCCGGCTCGAACTGTGGAACCCATGGACTACACTGGTCGACGGCCACGAATAATGGATCATGACGTGACATTAGAGGTAACCAGAAACTGCTTATTCGGTCCGTATAGATACAAACATTTCTCTGTGATGAACTTTTTCTTATTCTTTTAATTGATATACAGGAAATTCATAAATTCTTTGTTGATTACATGGTCGGTGATACACTGGGGGCCATCTCTACAGCGCATCTGGTCCATGCAGACCGTGAACTGGATAAAGCTCTGAGTTCAAAATGTCTCGAGTTAGCAGCCCTTCAGTCTATGGCCGTTGACTTTGCCAAATCTGGAGCTCCAGCCGAGATGCCTAGGTCTTTGAAGCCGAGAGAATTCCCTGATTTCATGGAAAGGTGGGAAAAGCCAATGTACGTCTCTCAAGGTGCACTCGGCAAGGTTTACCGTGCCATCATTGCGTCCCACCATCTCATCAAGACAAACTCCAATTGCTCGAGTGTAATCTTGCATGACACGTTTGATCAGGATCTCATTGTAGACGGCTACGAAGCCTTCCTGGAAACTGCTGAAAACCACAAAGAGCAGTACTTGGACAGAATGACCACATTGCTGAACTTTTACGAAGCAAAGAGCGAAGTCGAGATATTGACAGGCAATTTGCGTAACAAGTTGATGTACTTGAAGCATGATAATAGGAGATTTGGGGAGGTTAAGGATCGTATTTTGGGGTCGGCCAAGAGTCTACAAAAAGAGGCCAAGGGGTGGTTTGAGGGTAGCTGCAATGAGACTGATCAACAGAAATTGGCATCAGCATGGTATTATGTGACCTATCATCCAACGTATTCTCATGGCAGTGCAAATTGCTTGGGCTTTCCTTGGGTTGTAGGTAATATTTTGCTTGAAATTAAGTCAATTAAAAGCAAGAAGCTTGACGAAAATCTCTAGTTGTAACATTTATTTGATTTTGTAGCAATGTTTCAATTGGACGGGATTCTAACTTTCTTTTTCTCGTTTAGTACTGCATATTGTAAACTTGCTGATTCAAAGATACTTGCATTTATATTTTTAATTAAACGCGTTGGGAATAAAAGAAGTCCCACATTGGCTGGACATGGGAAATATGATGGGTTTATCAGTGTAGGACAGTACTCAATTGATATGATGCCTTTTGGATAGTATTCAAAAGCGAAAATTCGTGAGGGCCCAGGCCCAAAGCGAACAATATCATATCAATGTGGAGTTTGGCGGGTCCTAACAATTGGTATCAGAGTCCAGGGTCCAAAAACTTAGCCGGAGGAACGCAGCGGTAAGCATGGTGAAGTTCCACCCTAATTAACCTTGCGTCTGGCTATAAATCATCTGTGTTTGAGATGTCTTGCGTAGAAATTCTTCCTGACATAAAAATATGGTGGTCAGGCAGTGGGTCCCGTTTGGTCGAGGGCAACAACAATAACAACGGTACAAGATGATTGGCTGAAGGATTATCGTTTGAGGGGAGGCTACAATGATGTGATCCTTCGTTTAAGGGGAGGATTGTTTAGAGTAAAAGAAGTCTCACATCGGTTAGATATTGGAAATATGATGAGTTTATAAGTGTATGACAATACTCCATTATATGAGGCCTTTTGGGTAGTATTTAAAAGCAAATTCGTGAGGACCCAGGCCCAAAGCAAACAATATCATATCAATGTGGAGTTTGGCGGGTCCCAACAAAACTATTTGTACATTCGAATTGTACATCTTTGTTGATATTGTGTGATGCGTAAAAAATCTTGCAATTGATTTGGGCCCTGTTTGGAAGGAATAAAATTTTTCTACAGTAAATCAATTCTCATTTTCAACCGCACATTCTTCAATAAAATAATATTTTTCATCACATCAATAATTTTTTCTTCTTTTTTAATCAAACATTTCCCATCATATCACTATTCAAAATCAATTCTTCTCCTAAAAATCTCTCACAAACAAGCTCTTGGATAAGTGATATTTAAATAAATGGTCAGATTGCACGACTCATCACATTGTGTCAACAAAGATGTCCACAAAATTGTAAGTGTAGCACGATGGTTATATTTTATGGTAATTACATGTAAACAATCTTGTTCGAGCTGAGGGATATTCGTGCATGTTTGACAAAACTTAAATTATAGTTTAGCTAGACAAAAATACTTTATGCCGCTGGCATAACTTTTAAAAATTCAAAATGAGTTTTTGAAATCCAAATTGCTTTTAAATTTGTTTAGCTAATTTTATGAATGTATTCGAGGAAGTTAGTCTAACGTAATTTTCTTTAAAATCACTTTCTAAAATAGGAAGTTTTTTTCACAAATTAGTTTTTTTTTTTTTAAATAAGATATTTTACTTAGAAATCTCTTCTAAAAGTAGAAAAAGCAAAATCAAAAATAAAATTCATATCAAACAGAGAATGTTCTTCGTACATTTTATACGACCCATAATTTACCATCCATACATTATATATCATATTTTGTATGACTCGCGATTTTTAAAATTCCAAAACCATTATAAAAAATAATCTGATATGACACTTCCGTGATATCAACTTTTATTAGCAAATAAGAAGAGGCCTAACGCATCTATATAGTCGAGTGGGTTATGACGTCCAACACCAAATAATAAATTAATATTCGAAAACTTACACGCAATCACCTATACATACAATAGCTAACCAAAAAAGAAAAATTCAAACCAAAAAATAAAAATAAAATTTATAATTGACAAATAGTAGCATAAAATGATGAGCTGTAATTAATAATAATTGATTGACCACTAAGTTTCACCTCTCCCACTTCGCCCCGGGCGCACGTTATACGGAGGAAGGTGACGCATCCTTGCCAAGGTCCATAGAAGTTTTAGATGACGCCGGGAAGGCGGCGTACCTGGACGAGAAATTCCTTGACATATGATAATACCCATCCTCTTCCTCGAAATTACCGCTCTGCCCCGGCCCCTCGTCGAAATTCATCGCGTAACTCAATGGATCGTATTGGTAATTCACGTGCCTGCTATTCCCACTCCGGTTCCGGTTGAACCGCCGGATGAAAGTCTTCCATCTCGGACCAGCTACGAGTTCCGACCACTCGCGAATCTTTTTCAGTGCGACGACTCCACGGATCCACACGGAGGTGCTTCCAATGTCCGGCGTTCGAATTTTCCGCCACCAGGTTATTCCCCCGCCGTCCGGAGAGGAGTTGCTGAAGCACGGGAAGGAACAACAACGCCGATTTTTCTGAAAAAGCGTATCGGATTCTTCGTAGATCGTTTCTCCATGTAGATCCATATACCGATATATATATATATACACACAAACACAAAGAGGTATCTGTATGTATATGTATGTGTGCGTTATAGAGAGATATAGAGAAGATGTTTGGGACTCTCTCTCTATTATCTGTACTGACTGTAAATGAAAATTGGTGTAAACTATGAACAAGGTGAGGCGAGGAGTTAGCAGTATATAAATTACATAAATAGTCATTGAAGTTTGAATAAAATTTCAAATTAGTCATTAAATAATTAATTTCGTCTTCTATTTAATACTCCCTCCATTCCCATTATATATAAGTTTGTTTCATTTTTCACACGGATTAAGAAAACTTCTATAATGTCATTGGAAAATTAATTTTTGTCCAGATCTTTTCTAGTTTGCCCCTATTTAATTCTCAGTATATAAAACTAAATTATTGTTGAAACTAATAAAGAATTTGAATAAAAAGAAAAAATAAGAGTTGTTCCATATTTCAAGAAGTGAAAAATGTGTGTATTTGAATGATTTC